TGTGTCTGTGCCTGTGTCCAAATATACCCTTTTTGCAAGGACACCAGCCATATTGGATTATAAAGTCACCTTACCTCAGCATAATCTCATTTTATATGATCTGCAATAATCCTATTTCCAAATAAGGTCATATTCAGAGAGACTGTGGGCTAGGAGCTGAACATATGAATCTGGGGGCAGAGGATGACACAATTCAATCTGTAACCTGCCCTAAGCTATAGATTTCTATCCCCTGAAGAATTTCATCAAAATGTAAGTCATGAAATTTTTTAGACCCATAGACTTTGTGTTTAAGCATAAGAAGGGCTCTGAGTGCAAACCTCTCTAGTTAAGATGAAGAAATAAGCTTCAAAGGAGGGGAAGTGACTCGCTAAAGACCCAGCCAGAAAAGTGGGTCTAATTTTTTTTCTCTAATTTTGAAGTAAACAGAAGATTCTTTGATAAATTAGTAGGGCTCAGTGGTTCTTTCCACTCCCCACCGCCCCCTATTTATCCTTACTATTGGGAAACTGTATATCGGCATATCGTTGAACCAATTGTAACCAAAGTTGAGGGTGGGAGCAGGTAAAAGTGGGTGCCTCCTACCCCCACCCCCACAGTTCATTGCAAAGTGCCTTGGAAGAGCTTTTATAATACGTTTAAAGTGTGCATCCCCAGTTGTGTGGACAATCAAGCCAGGTCATTTTCTTTCAGTCGAGAGAGGTCAGCAGGTGGGCTGGGAAAAGGGACAGTAATTTCTTGAGCCCGGAGTAATCCTGTGGAAACTTTTCTTCAACTGGGAATGACCAGAGGGTGGCCAACTCGAGAGTGAGGCCAATTCATCTTTGAGGTCTCACTCTCCACAACATGGGCTTTACTCTGCCCTTGCATTGGGAAAACACTCTATAAAATCAGCCATGGATTGCCTGGAGGTTTGCATGCCACTCTCTCATACCTCTCCCTCCCTTCTCATCCCTGCACCATCCAAGTGTTGTCCATTTCTTCTTTCTAACCATAAATGATGCTCAATGCTGATTTTCTGACATGGTCAAAGTGAAAGAGCCAAGCTTCCTTTGTTTCTCTTTGGTCCCTCTGGTCTCACTTCCTTTTGTGGAGGGGCCAGGGGAGGTGTGGAAGGGTTGCAGCAACCCCACATCTACGATCTGGGCTGGGCCCAAGGTGGAGAGCAAAGCTCTAGGCTCAGAATAAGTTGTGAAGGGTTAGGATAATGCTTCTTACCCTTCCCAAACTTCCTTGAAACCCCAAGTATCTCACACCAAGTTTCAGCATGCCTGAAATTCCCAGCCAATAATAGTATCATTTCTTCTGACTGTAGGACTATATTTCTGAAAGGTCCTTGATCAGGCCCAGATATTTTATAATAAAGGAAAAAGAAGGCCCTGGACTTGGAGACAGAAGACCTGGGTATGAAGCCAGGGGAGACATGGGGACAGGAGATTGAGTCACAGAACATTCAAGACAGACTCGGTGTCCTGGACAATTTCACCTAAGGTCTAAATTGACCCAGTTTCCCACTACCCTGACTCACACAGGCCTTATTCTACACTTTGTTCTCCAATCCCTAATCCCTAACCCAGATCCTCCATAAATAGAATTTTTTTTTTTTTTTTTGAGACAGAGTCTTGCTCTGTCACCCAGGCTGGAGTGCAGTTGTGCAGTCTTGGCTCACTGCAACCTCTGCCTCTCGGGTTCAAGCTATTCTCCACCTCAGCCTCCCGAGTAGCTGGAATTACAGGCACATGCCACCATGCCCAGCTAATTTTTTTGTATTTTTAGTGAAGACAGGGTTTCAACATCTTGGCCAGGCTGGTCTTGAACTCGTGATCCACCCAACTCCGCCTCCCAAAGTACTGGGATTACAGGTATGAGTCACTGCACTCGGCCAATAGAAGACTTCTGTGAACCTATATGCTCTTGGTAGAAATGAGGGGACATAACCAATGCTATGGGCTGAGAGTTTACCACCCAGTTTATGGTAATTGTTACGGCAGCCTGAACTGACTAAGATAGCCAAAGGTAAGACAATACATGTTAATCTTTTATTTGTGCATATAATACAATGAAGCTTTCTTTTTTAGTGAAATGATGCATAGTAATTCATACTTATTGGGACAGAATGATCTATAAAGTAAGCACATTTACATACATGACCTCATGCACACCCTCATAGTGCGGGTGAGTCTGTTACTGGCTTCTCTACACTTTATAGATGAGGAAACTAGGCCTTGAGAGGCCCAAGGTCAAAAGAGCTTGGATTTGGTGTTTAGGTCTGGGGCTCAAATACAATTGGACTCCGCAGACAGTTTACTCTGGACATCTATAGGCCCGGTTTCCATGTTTGTGGACTTCTTTGTCCCCTCACAGGCGGTTGCACTGTGAAAGTTCAAGAATGAAATGAAAGCTGTGAAAAGTTTAACAAAGCTTAATTCAAACAAAACAAATGATGTTTGGGCTGGTGGACCCTAGACAGGTTCACAAGAAGCTCATGGAGAATACCTGGGGTTGACCAAGGTCACAAGAAGCTCATGGGCTGAGTACCTGGTGTTGACCAGAAGATGCAACGTTGGCAAGTATGGTAACAGGAAACGGAGGTAGAAAAAAGCCAAAAGATGGTCTTCTGTTCACTCACTCAACCAACCACAAACATTGCCAGATACCGATTGAGGTGGTAGGGACTGGCTTTGTGCCCTTGAGGGATTTCCACTCCACTTGAGGCCATTAGAGGTCTGGGGCTGCCATGAGCTTGGAGACATGCTGTGCTTCAGAGATAGCAAGGTTCCTCTCTTCTGGATTCTGTCTGAAGGAATGTGGAGGTGTAAATGCTATAGAACCACTGTGGGTTTTTGTGTGCGTGTGTGTTCTGGTAGTGGCTAGAGGTCTGCAGCCCTGTGTCCAGCACACCTTTGTTTGGAGGGAGAGATAGGCCTGCAAGAGGCCAGTTGAGATTGAGCAGTGGTTTCCACGGGTGGAGGGAGGGGAAGGGCAGGAGGTGGCCAATGGAGGTTGTGGTCAGGGAAAGACAGTGTAGCTCCTGGTGTGCAGCTCTCTGCCGGCTCCTTCTCAACAGTATCATCCGCCACTTTCTAATTGGGATGCCCTTCTATCTTCCCATTCATACTTTTCTTTGTGCCTCTTCCCTTGGATTCTTGAGGAGCTAGATTACGGGAAGACTCCTGATTAAAGACTGCCCTGGGAGCCCGTCTATTAGGGATGCCAAAACATCACCAGAAGTGTAAAACTCAGCTATAAAATGCTCCCAGGAAGATGGCTGGATGTACTGAAAGAAATACTCAGATAAGCACCTTGGGATGGGTAGAAATGGAATGGCATGGGGAGAGGGTGAAGTGAGCCTATCAAGGGGCATCGACCCCCAAACCTGCCTTCTAAGAAGGGTGGGTTCAAAGCCCAAGGTGCTTTGGTTTTGCCAAGTGGGTATGTGAGTAGGAGTCCCTTGCCTTTCTGCTCCCTGGCTTAGCCTACCCTGTGAATAAAAGCTGAACAAAACGTTAAGAATCAGTGTAAAGTGTGTTCGAAAGATTAGGCCATTGAGAAGCCCATAAGCTTAGCTCTGATTCCACAAACTACCTCATTATCTCCTCCTCATGCTGTTTCTTCCATCAGTGGTAAGTAGTGGCCCCACCTCTAGGGTGGCAGGCCCATGGGAACCCCTTCCCTTCATTGATGTATCGCCCAGCCTTCTCCAGCAGGTGCCACTGGCCTAATGAAAATTAGGCCCTGGCTCTTCCCTAGACTGATCAAACTCCTCCAGATCTACTCCCCCACTGACAAATAGGTCACTGAAGCTGCATCTGGAACTGAAGGGGTAGTGCCTTACAAGTTATCTCCAGGTTGGCTATAGGGCTACTAAGGGCTATATTGGTATCTATTTTATTCAATAAGAATATATTGAGTGTCTTCTGTGTGCAAATCCCTGCTCAGGGGACTGTGGAAGACTCTAAACTCCTCATTTTTTAAAAAAGTTGCAGCCAAATGTACCTAATGGAGGTGCATGTCAGAATCACACAGGAAGCTTTTCCAAATCCCCACTCCAGAGCCAAATCAGGTTCATAGATTAGGCCCAGGTCTTTGCGGATGGCAAAGTTTAGAGTGACTTTTTTTTATGCCCTTGTGTGAAGCAATGGGCCAGTGTGAGGGGCAGGCATGTGTACCATGAACTAGAAGGCAAGATCAAGCATAGCCATTGCCACAGAGAGAAAGAGAGATAAGCAATCTCTCTACTACTATTCTCTACTCTCTTTCCACTACTCTCTGAGAGTGTAGACTAGGAAAGAAAGGTTAATACAGAGAAGCAGCCTGGGACAAAGAAGGTAAAGTGCGCCGCAGGGCATTGCTCCCCAAGAAGCATGAATCTGAAGGACAATAACAGCTGTGGATTTTTTGCTCCCACTGAGCACACAGTGATAGAACACTTGGTTCAAGACCAGGTTCCTGCCTTCAGGCAGCTTGCAGCCTGCTGGGGCAGGGAGGGAAGTCATTGCATGAGTGTAATTACAACAAAAGCTGGAGAATGACAAGTACCATTTTAGAGGGACAAGCAGAATTCCACAACAACCCAGAGAGTGTTCTCCTAATTTGCAGATTGGGGAGGGCTTCCTGGAGAAGCTGGCCGGTCAGCTAGGACATGTTCCAGGCCCAGGTATGACAGATGCCTAGAGGTAGGATATCGGAGAGATGAGTGTCTTGGATAAGGCCAGTGGTGTTTTGGGGTTGGATACCAAGCTGCTGCAGGGAGGAGGCTTAGAGTGAAATAAGAATGGAAAAGTTGGCTAGCATCAGATTGTGGAGGCCTTGAAAGCCTTGCTAAGGTGTTTGGACTTTATTTGTAAGTAATGAGGAGCCGCTAAGGATTTCAAAGCACCTGGTGTCAGGGCAGAGGATGGCCTGGTGGGGAAAGGGAGGAGCAGCAGGGAGACACCAAGGCCTGGTGGGGAAAGGGAGGAGCAGCGGGGAGACACCAAGGCCTGGTGGGGAAAGGGAGGAGCAGTGGGGAGACACCAAGGCCTGGCGGGGAAAGGGAGGAGCAGCGGGGAGGCACCAAGGAAGTGAGGCTCTGTTTCAGATATGAAAACATGTGTGTGCAATGGCAAGAATGAATCAACTCTGAAAGCCACTAGACAGGCGTAGTCATTTGGACCTGGCTGTGGAAATTTAGGGAAGGAAAATACAGGCCTCCAACAGGACTTGAGGTTTGGAGTGTGGGCAGATGTGGGGAAGCTGGCACTATCAACCAAATAGGAGGAGGACACTTTAGGTGCAAAGGGACAAATCTGAAGTCAGCTCACTATCCACCTGGGAAGAGTGAGCTGTCAGAGGAGTCCACCCTAGATGCCTTGGCCAAGATGGGTGTTCACCAAACTGGGTGAGACTTTGGGGCTGGGCTGTTGGCCCCTGGAGGGTAGCAACTTTATCTTATTCATCTTTGTATTCTCTGAATACAGTGCAGAAGGTAGCACTTATTACACTCATTCCTTCAATCAATTATTTATAAGCTAAATTTCTAAGGGCCAGTTCGTGGGCTAGGACTTGGATCCAGGATGCAGAATATTTCTCCAGTCTAGTTGTAGATTTTTAGAATCCACATTTCAACATGACTGTGCTTATCTCAGGGTATGGTGACTCTTGTCTTGCAGGCAGCCTCATCCAGCAGTATCTGAGGAATATGGAGCCAGTGCCTCCAAAGTGATTAAACCAGTTGGGACAACCCTACAGTCAGGAAAGGGAGACACTGTCCTGGTCGGCATTGTGCAGTTATCACACACCTTGAGCTTTAGGCCCTGTAAAGTCTCCAAGGAAACGCCTTTCCTAGAATCCTTTCATGTTTTAGAACCTTCTGAACCAAGCACTGATTAGAAACACATGTTCAAATGAAGAAGCATGCATGATGAACTCGAGTTCAAGAAATGTTTGTCAGGTAGCAGTATAAAATTCCCAGGTAGGAAGCCACTTTCCCACAGACGAGAGGCTGGCAGGACCCGCTGGTGTAATGAATCACCTTCACTGCAAGCCAGCGGCGGCAGGTGGCATCCCCACGTGCTCTGCAGTGCTCCTTCCAGGCGCGTTTCTCTGTGACTCCCATACCAGTCCCCCGTCCACCTGCCCCTGCACCGCCACAGGATCCTCAGTAGAAGGAGGCGCCCTCATTGGCGGACCCGCCAGGGGACTTGAGCACCAGGGGTTGGCTGGGCGCCTGCAGCCGGCAGAACCAGAACTGCTGGAGGACGTGTTTCAGGTGCGTGCGGAACTTGACCCCCACGAAGACGTAGAGCACCGGGTTGAAGCAGCAGTGGGAGAAGGCGAGATTGCGGCAGATGAGCAGGGCGTATTCCAGCTGCTGGATGGCCTCACAGCTCTGGATGACACTGGTCTTAAGCAGTGTCTGCAGAAACAGGGTGAGGTTGTAAGGACCCCAGCTGAGGAAGTAGGCCACCACGATGGCGAAGATGAGCTTGACCGTGCGGTGACGCCGCTTGGAGCGCGAGCGGAACAGGGTCCTGAGGATCTCCACGTAGCAGAACAGGATAATCCCCAGTGACAGCAGGAAGAAGAGGTTGTGCTGGTAGACCGAGGTGAGGTACCACGTTAGTTCGGCATAATCACAGCCCCAAGGAAGCACCTTGTGGAAGATGGTGTCGAGGATGGAGGACAGGATACTGGCTACCCACACAGCTGTGGTCACCAGCACCCGGCAGCGGAGGGAGGGGACACGCAGGGTGGAGAGGGGCCTCACCACGGACAGGTAACGGTGGATGGTCATGATGGTCAGGAAGAAGATGCTGCTGTAGAGGCTGATGGAGAAGATCATATTGAGGAGCTTGCAGAGGAAATCTCCCAGCACCCAGCCCCAGTAGTATGGGGAGATCCACACAGGCAACAAGCAGGCGAACACCAGGTCTGAGAGACACAGGTTGAGGACGAAGATGTTGGTGAGGGACTCCAGGCTCTCATACTTCACCAGGACCCACAGCACCAAGCTGTTGCCCACTAGGCTGAGGAGGAACACCAGGCAGTACAGGATGGTGGTGGCGAATGTAGCAAAGGCCCAGGTCTCATTCTCACACAGCTGGCTCTGAAGGTCATAGTAAAAAAAGGTGGTGCTCTCTGGGTTGCCTGAGGACTCCATCTGGACCAGGTGGCAGGGATGTTTAGAGCATCTGAAATGATAGAAACATGGAGTTTAAAGTCATGTGGTGGCTGGGCACAGTGGCTAACACCTGTAATCTCAGCACTTTGGAAAAGCCAAAGGGAGACGATTGTTTGAGCCCAGGAGTTTGAGACCAACCTGGGCAATATAGTGACACTGCTGTCTCTACAAAAAATTAAAAAATTACCCAGGTGTGGTGGCACATGCCTATAGTCTAGCTCTAGCTCAGGAAACTGGGGAGTGGTGGCTGGTGGGGAAAGATTGCTTGAGCCCAGGAGGGCAAGACTGCAGAGAGCTGTGATCACGCCACTGCACTCCAACCTAGGTGACAGAGAAAAACCCTGTTTCAAAAAAAAAAGCCGGACTCTTAGTTAATTCTTTTCTGGATCAGAGAAAAGACCTGTAATGGAAAGGGATTCTCTACAGAATGTATTTTCCCCACAAGAGGTAGCATTGCAGGGCCATTTCAAAATCTATCAAGGAAATTTATTTTGGGGTAAAATACTTCTTTCAGGGCCTGCTATCTGTCATGTTGGTATCTTATTGCTACAAAGAGTCTATTTTATCAGGCTGAAGGGCTGCTTTAATGTTAATGCTGGTCAGCTGTACCAGATTACAAAAGGAGGTGAGAATAATGAGGCATGTCTGACTACCCATTCCCATTGTGGCCTGAACTAGTGTTTCTGTTTTTCTTTAGAATGCCCTTGGCTGAGAAGAGGAGTCCATTCAGTTAGTTGGGGGGCTTAGGATTATGTTTTTTGTTTATACAACTCAAATACCTAAGACAAACACCAAATAACCAATCAACACTTTTCAGAAAAATGAAACAAAATCTAGAGTCTACACAACATAACAGTGTTCTGGACACAATCCAAAATTACTCAGCATGTAAAGAAACAGGAAAACATGACCCATCCTCAAGAGAAAAGACAAGCAACTGCCTGTGAGAGGAGCCACATGTTGGAATTTGTAAGTATGTATGGAAATGTAACTATTATATCTGTTCTCAAGGAAACAAAGGAAACTATATTCATAATGAATGGAGAGATAGAAAATCTCAGCAGAGAAAAAAAATTACATAAAAGACTCAAAAGAAATTAGAAATCAATAACAAGTTATGAAGAAAAACTTCAACAATTGGAAATAATAAAAAACTCTGGGCGCTTGTGACGTCATGGCGCCGTGCGTGGCCACGGCTGCGGCGCAGGGGGCGGGCTCGCGCGAGGCGCCGGAGGAGGAAGCGGTGAGATTGTTGCTCCCTCTGCGCCCACCGCTGGTTCTTGGGGTGCAGAGAGAGGCCGAAGTCTCCGTGGCTGCGTGGCGTTCCCCTGCAGTGCCGTCCATATTCGCTGGCACCACCGCTCCCCTTCTAAGGCCGCCGCTTGCCCTGGGGTCTATGGAAGTAATGGAAGGACCCCTCAACCTGGCTCATCAACAGAGCAGACGAGCAGATCGTCTATTAGCTGCAGGCAAATATGAAGAGGCTATTTCTTGTCACAAAAAGGCTGCGGCATATCTTTCTGAAGCCTTGAAGCTAACACAATCTGAGCAGGCTCATCTTTCACTGGAATTGCAAAGGGATAGCCACATGAAACAGCTCCTCCTTATCCAAGAGAGATGGAAAAGGGCCCAGCGTGAAGAAAGATTGAAAGCCTAGCAGAACACAGACAAGGATGTAGCTGTCCATCTTCAGGCATCTCACAAATCCTCTGCTGAGGATCCAGAGGGCCAGAGCCCCCTTTCTCAGAAGCACAGCACTTCCGCAGAGAAACACGTGCCTGAGATTCAGGGGATCCAGACACACTACTATATTTGCTTCAGCAATAGAGTGAGCCAGCAGAGCCATGTATTGGAGGCAAAGCCCCAAAAGATGATAAAACAATTATAGAGGAGTAGGCAATCAAAACTGCAGATTTGAAGAGGCATGTGGAATTCGTTGTGGCTGAGAAGACAAGATTAAGGAACGAAAATAAACGACTAGAGGTTGAAAAGGCCAGATTTCTAAAAGACTCGACTTCTAAAACGCTCAATAGAAAAGGAGCTGGATGTAGATGCTGATTTTGTTGAAACGTCGGAGTTACGGAGCTTGCTGCCACATTCAGAAACTGCTACAGTCTCCTCAACCTGGCAGAATTCTGCAGCAAATACCGGGAACAGCAAAGACATTTCAATCCCCAGTCTTTCTTCCTTGGATTTTACATCTGCAGAACTTCCCCTTATGGAGCTCCCTGAGGAAATTATGAAAGGATTTATCAGTAATTAAAATGGAAGGCCACAAAAGGGGGGAGAAGAGAAAATAATACAGTCATAGTTAATCCAGCAAAAAAAAAAAAAAAAAAAGGAAAATCACGTAGAAAGTGCATCCCGGAAATGCGTCATCATCTGGCAGACTGGGAGAAGACGCATTACCAGGACTTGGGAAACAGTCACTGTGAAATGTGTTGAGTATCTGATTCACTGACTTGAACTAATGATTCCAACTTGGCAGACACTAAACTCAGGGAGGTTCAGTTTGTCCTGATACAAACCAAATGGCTACCTGGAATAATTTTTTTCAAGCAACAGTTATTTTTCTTATCTTTAGGGTTAAATGCATAAAAGTATGTTATGCATAATCTATAATGCCATAAATGATAATGCAAAACCTAAATAATATGGTGGCCCAAGGGTCTGCCTCGTATTTGAAACATGCTTTCTGTCGTGTATTGACTGTATGCATTTTGTTAATGCACGTTTTGTTTGTTTAAATAAGGTGTGCAAAATACAGACCTTTCTACATGAAACTATATGTGCCACACTTTGCACTACCATAATGATAACCTCAGGACTATCAGGTGAAATATTTAAATTTCGATTTTATGAAGAAAGGAACCAAATTATTAGTTATGCTTTTTAAAACAAATTACCAGTTTACATAATCAGGGTGCATTTTAAGTTCTAACCTTGTTTATTGTGTAATGCATCATTCGAAAATACTAAGGAGGAAATGTCCTTTGTTTTTAAGGATGTGTGAGTGGAAGTAATGCTAGTTGGCAGTGTTTGATTGTAAGAAATCAATAAAGTAATTGTGTTTTATTAAAAAAAAACCCAACTGGCATACTTCTAAAGAATCTATGAGTCAAAGAAGAACTCAAAGGCAAAGTATAAAATATTTTGAACTGATAATAATGAAAATACCACATATCAAAATTCATGGAATGCAACTAAAGCAGTACTTGGAGAGAAATTCATAGCTTTAAATGCTTGTGTATGAAAGAATAAATGTCTAAAATCTAAGACTTAAATCAGTGACTTAGGAAGCTAGAAATAGAAGAGCTAATTAAACTCAGTAAATAGAAGGCATTAATAAAAGCAGAAATAAAATAGAAAATTTAAAAAGAAAATGAATAAGATCAAAATTGGTTGTTTGACAACATTTTAATACATTGATACAATCAGCCCACAGATGTGGCTTGTGCCTATAATTCCAGTGTTTTGAAAGGTTGAGGCAGGAGAATCCCTTGAGGCAAGGAGTTTCGGGCTGCAGTGAGCTATAATGGCACCACTGCATTCTAGTCTGGGTGTCAGAGCAGGACCCTGTCTCAAAAAAGAAAAAAAAAAAGGCCAGGTGCAGTGGCTCATGCCTGTAATTCCAGCACTTTGGGAGGCCAAGGCAGGTAGATCATCTGAGGTCAGGAGTTCAAGACCAGCCCAGCCAACATGGCTACACCCTGTCTCTACTAAAAATACAAAAATTAGCCAGGTTTGGTGGCAGGCACCTGTAGTCCCAGCTACTCAGTAGGCTGAGGCAGGAGAATTGCTTGAACCCGGGAGGTGGAGGTTGCAGTGAGCTGAGATCGTGTCACTGCATTCCAGCCTGGGCAACAAGAGTGAGACTCTGTCTCAAAAAAGAAAAGAAAGAAAAAACCAACCAAAGAAACAAACACCAAAAAACTGATGAAACCTTACCTAGATTGAGAACAAAGAGAGGGAATATGCTACAGATCTTATAGACTTTACAGGAATAACAAATAAATATTATGATCAATTTTATGTTAACAAATCCAACAACTTAAATTAAATGGATGAATTTATTTTAAAATCCAACATATCAAAACTGATATAGAATGATATGGCAAATGTGAATAGCCCTACGTTTGTTCTAGAAATAGAATTAACTATATAAATCCTTACCACAAAGAAAACTTTAGAACTAGAGGACTTTTCTAGCGACACTTTTAAACATTTAGGGAAGAAATAACACCAGTTTTACAGAAACTAACAAATAAAAGATGGAATATTTTCTAACTCTTTTTATGAGGACAGAATAACCCTGATACCAAAATTAGACCAACAAATTACAATAAGAGAAAA